AGGGAAAACAATGATTTACATTGATATAACTATAATATGAAGTAACATACAACTAAAACAACAGTTGGATAGCTATTCCCTACATTATTGGTTAGGATTTTTAATTGCATAATGCAAACTGTTGATTTTCAAAATAAAAAAAAACGTTCATGCCCCGCATTCCAATGCTGGAGCAGGAAAGCTTGAAATACCTACCAAAACACTTGAATACAGACATACTGTCAGTATGAAAATAGCTCTGTGCAGGTGTTAATCAAGTTAAATCCCAACAGCCAATCAGCAAGAAATGCTCTGTGCAGGTGGAAATGCTGTGTGCAAGTGTTAATCAAGTTAAATCCCAACAGCCAATCAGCAAGAAGATTAGAGGGAAAGACTGCATGCCTATTGGTTGATGCCCTGCATTCCATTGTGATGACTCATGCCCAAACGTGGTACACAGCACAGTAAAAATACATTTGCTATAACACAGCCAAAAAGCTCAAATAAAACCATCCTCTGTAAAAATTGACTGGTTTTGGACTAGTTGTGACTAGTAACCTGACTAGTCCTGGACTAGTCCTAATTTATCACCTTGGACTAGTCCCAACCTCGGACCTCTGGTGGTCCGGCTGAGCCAGGACCACCCAGGACTGGTCAGGACCACTTGGACTAGTGGTTTTTGGTGGTTTGGACTAGTCCCTGACTAGTCGTAGGACCGGTCAGAATCCGAGCGGTTGGCGGCCAGGACCGGTCGAGGACGGGTCCGCGAAGGCACGGCTGGGTAGATTCCGGACCGGTCCTGGCGCGGTGGGAGGGCTGGGACCGGTCCTGCATTGCAGGCTCCGTGCGACGGGCCGAGGCTGGGACCGGTCCTGGGACCGGTCCTGGGACCGGTCCTAATAGCGGGCTGTGCGCGGCGGGAGGGCTGGGGCATTAGTGGGCTGGACACTGTAGATCCCGTGTTCACATTTTTCCACTCTCGGGATCCGTGGGACTTAGCTTTTCAAAATCCAAAATGTGTCTCGGGCGGGCCGTCGCCAAAGTTGGGGTGCGTACAGTTATTTATTTGAGGGTTTCCCCCGACACATCCGACGACGACCCGGGAATTTCTAAAAGCCTGTATCACAAAAATTTAAAAAACGCCTGGGGGTATTTGCCCACTGTACCTCCATACCAAATTTCAGGACCTTAGGCCCCAAAATGAAGAAGCTGGATCCATTTAAAAATGGCAGGAGAAGAAGAAGGAGGAGGAGAAGGAGAAGAAACATCAGAAAAAGCAATATGGTTTGTGAAAGCCATAATTACACCAAGGACATTCTACAACCTTGATTACAAAGGGAAGATGCTAGCACGCTGGCATGGGATTCATGCACATGAGTGTCTTTGGCACTCAGGTGACCTGTGAATTAAATTTTCACACCCTCTACGAACATTGCAGAAAGGAAATGTTGTTGTCAGTCCTTCTGATAGAACATCCTTGATTACACATTGTCATAACCATTGCTGTCTTTTCTAGGGTGACCGAGGGCTGCTGTTCTCACGCAAGCCGCCAGAGGTCGTTGCTGAGAGGGCAGCCGTGGCGAGACACAGTCTGCCCAAGCTGGGGCCGGGGCAGGAGGTTCTGGCCAGGTGGTCGGACGAGGGCTGGTACTACAGAGGTAGGAAAGATCCCTGTCCTGTTTTTCCACCTACTCATTTTTGTGATTTGCAAATTTTTCTTTTAAGAATATCAACAGTTCCATTCTGTAAATGCTGATATTCTAAAATTCCCTTGGGTAAATGACAAAAATAGTACCATACAAGTCATGTAAATTCCCGATTAAAGAACACACTGTAAAAGTTTTCAAATAACAAAAAGTGTTTCAGGCTGTTTACACCAAAGTCAGAATGTGTACTTTATTTCAGACAATTTCCAGGACAAATTGGAATACAATGAAATCGTTTCCATAAAATGAATTATAATTTAATGACTTAGTACTTCCTCCTTTAAATAGCATACAGTTCATTCAGAAAAATTCCACACTTTCTCATAGTCTAAAAACTCCAATTACTTGTTTTATTGTGCAGGAACGGTGAAACAGGCCCTGGGAGATGACAGCTACTACATTGAGGACAGCGTGGGGGACATGGAGAGGATCTTCAGAGAGGACATCATCACTGATGAGGATGACGCAAACAACATCATACAGGTGAGAACACAGGACTAACTGCCTATTGTGTACAATGTGTACTTGAAACAAAAACTACATGTATTGTTCCAATGGTCATGACAGAGAAGACCAAATTGCTATGTACAGTTAACTCCAGGACTGGTTCTTTGTACCTGGGAAATCCCCCTAGCTCTTTTCAGAAAGCACAATGAACAGTAGACCACGGCTTAAAGGCCCGTCCTACTCGTATAAAGGACTGCTACCCTTTCCAGTAGCTGTTTAATAATGCTTGTCAGGTGACCGACAAAACATGGGATTCGAACTCCCTCTCACTGTATTACCTGGGCCTGCCAGGGATTTGAACCCAGAGCCTGAGTCAATACCCTATTCACAAGACAATCTAGCCACTGATTTCTTGTTGATACATGTACATAACTGACCTGATTTTGACCTTTTCTGACCGGCAGTCCGGAGACCCGATCATCGGCCTGCACCCGAGCTACTCCTTCAGCTACGCGCCCGGTGTGGTGCTGGAGGTCCTGCCTGACCTGTGGACTGTGGTGCGCTACTACGACGGTGCAGAAGCAAAGGTATTTATTTTTTCTATAAAGTGCTAAGTTAAACGTAAACAATAGTCCAGGTTGTAACATGAAAATAACACTCCTGGCTAATGATTGGTTCACAGCAACTGCAAGGTTCTAGCTATAGAAGTCCTGATGGTAGAACGAAAATGCATTGGTACTCTTGACTGGATGTTGTTGTCAGTGATCAGGCCGACCATGTTCTGGATGTGCACTGCATAATGTATGAAAGTTCTGCCGGTGGAGTGTCCTAGAGAGGAGAGACTGTTGTGAAATGTGCGTCTGATTGTGTATCGCTGGGGAAGTAATGGTGCAACCATGGATCTCTCTTCTACCTCCATGGTGCAACAGCTGGCTTTGTGCCATGTGTATTGTACAGTAAATTTCAATAAATCAAATCAATTCCAGGTGCCGCGTGAGGAGGTGTACAAGATGACGGCTGAGAAGTTTGAGAAGGACGTGGCGTACATCCTGCAGTGTGAGGACAGCTGGGTGGGGCATGCCGTGGTCGCTAGGGACGACAGCGACGGGGCGTACCATTTGGGTAAGTTATTGGGTTTATTGGTTTATTGGTTTATTGGTTTAAAACTCTCCTTTAGCTGCCCACCCGAGGGTGACAGCTACTCTTCCAGGAGAGAGTATACACATAAACGTTACAAAACATCAAAACACATACATATATACATCATCATATTTACATCATCATACACAGTATATATACAATTAATATTCAATCTTAGTTTACTGTCAATTCTGTATAGCTTGTTTCAGTCTGTCTTTGATGAGAGTTTTAAAACTGGTAGGTATTGATTTTCTGATATGACATGGAAGTGTGTTATACAGTTTTGAGCATCTGTAGAGGAAAGATTTAGTAGCTGCCGATGTTTTTGGCTTTGGCAGCTTAAAATTATTCCTTGCTGCAGATCTCGTACTGTAACCGTGCTGGTTAGATACAAGCTGCAGTTTACTGTAAAGTGTTGTTGGTTGCTTATAGAAAAGCAACTTGTGGAAGGTACACATGTTGTTAACATAGAGTCTGTCACCAACTGTCAGCCATGATAGCACACTGTGCATATGCTTCACCGATGTCCGGTGAGTTCTCAGTGCAAGTCTCCCTGCCTTGTTCTGCATTACTTGGAGTGCGGTGGAGTGGGAATTTTGTTTTTTCACAACAGGTCCAAATATTTGACAAACGCGTATAGAGTTTGTATATAATGTCATTTATTCATTCAGCAAGCAAACTAGATAAAACTAGATAAAAGAATACAATATGACTGCTTAGAATAAAATATTACATTATATATTTTAGGTTTTTCAGAAGGACTTTGACTACTGAGATCAAAAGAATTGAGAAAAGAGAAACAAAACTGTAGTATGCAATGTAAGGAAAATATGAAGGAAAGTTTTGTAGTGTTATTGTGTACTTAGTAAGTACATTAATTGCAGTTTACAGTGTCAAATCTTATGAAAATGCCAAAGATGAATTTCGATTCGTAATGACTTGTCCTACTTAGAGTAAAGAAAAGAACCACTGATACAGAGTATTACCACTTAAACATGTCTGGTACACAGACTGATTCATCCATCCATTCCTGTCCACAGGCACTGTGAAGGAGAGAGTAGGTAATGGCCGTCAGTACGTGGTACAGTGGGCGGATGAGTCCCTGCAGGTCCAGAGCTCCTCGTGTATCTTTGGAGCCTTCACCAAGCGGCACGCGCTGGCGCTGGGAGACCGTGTTCTCGCCGTGGCAGACCCCGTCGCCCTTGTGTACCTGCCCGGCTGGATCACAGGAACCAACGGACAGAAACTGGTGGTCAAGTTCTGCAATGGCACAACGTAAGTACATAGTGGATACTTAAATTATTTGTAGACTATATTTATTAAAGCAACCATAGAACTTTCACATGCTGGCAGGACATGTTCCAGACCTTAAATTGTTAACTGTTTTTTCAAATAATTATTGCTAATGGAAGTAATTACATATTTAAGAGAAACATACATTCAATTTGATAGGGTAAATACATTTGCTGAAAAATGTACCGTGAACTATGCATAGTACATTTGAATTCCTTGAATTTGCCTTTAAACACTTTTTTCTTGTTGTAGAGATGATTCGACTGTGGCTTCACTGGCCTGATTTGTATAGAAAGAGCATTTAAATATTATTTAATATATTGTTCTTTGCAGGTCTGCCCACATCAACCCCCGGCAGTGTTTCTGGCTGTCCCAGGAGTACTTTGACATTGCCGTCAATTTCTGGAAGACCAAGCAAACGGCTTCGTAAAGTTCAAGATTCAAGCATCTGCCTGCAGTTCTACAACTACCCTCTAGGTGGTGCTGTAGTACCATCGCTACTGATGCAGACTGCCTGCTTTGAGATTACACAGTGTTTGATTTAGATGTTAGGAAACTTGAAACACTTACCATGGCCAAGTAACAAACAAGAATCAGGAAATACCTCCAGACCTCTGGTCAGTGCCAAAAAACATGTTTGTGTATACAGTTATGCCGATGAAGGTTTAGAAATCCAGGTAATGAAATACACAAAACAGCCTCCAGTTTAATTCCGGACTTCCAGTTTAATTCCGGACTGGCCTCCCATATCTCAGCCACCTTACACCCTGATGGGCTAAAATTGCAAACTATAGGTAAAAATGATGTAAGAAATACGTAGCCACCATCGATTGCCCCCTGGGGATTAATCTAAATTTGCAACATTATGCATAATTATGCATAATTATGCATAATTATGCATAAGGGTTTGAAGGTTATGCATAATTATGCATAATGGTCAAGAGTTATGCATAATGCTTCAAACAGTTATGCATAATTGTTCATAAGGCTTCCAAGGGTTATGCATAATTATGCATAACTGTTCTCAGGCTTATGCATAATTATGCATAACTGTTCTCAGGCTTATGCATAATTATGCATAACTGTTCTCAGGCTTATGCATAATTATGCATAATAGTTGGAATTTTCCAAGTTACGCTCTGTTTACCATTGGTT